TCCCCAGGGGCTGTGGGTGGATCTCTGCATCCCCCATGGATCCCCAGGGGCTGTGGGTGGATCTCTGCATCCCCCATGGATCCAGGGGCTGCAGGGGCACAGCTGCTTCACCCTGGTCTCCCCACGGCCTGCAGAGGAATCTCAGCTCTGGTGCCTGGAGCACCTCCTGCCCCTCCTTCCCCACTGACCTTGGTGTCTCCACGTTGTTTCCCTCACATGTTCTCACCTCCTCCTCTTCTCTGGCTGGAATTAAAACTGTGCCCCTACCTTTATTTTGGTTTCTTCTTAAACATGTTATCCCAGAGGTGTTACCATCATCCCTAACTGGCCCAGCCTTGGCCAGTGGCATGTCCATCTTCTGAGCCATCAGGGATCGGTTCTGCTGGACATGGTGGAAGCTTCCAGCAGCTTCTCACAGAAGCCACCTCTGTGATCCCCCTCTGCTGTCAAAAACCAGGGCATGCCAAACCAATACACTTGGCAAGCGTGGAAACCATGCCAAATTTCCATTTGACAAAGTTAATGTAAAAAATTTTACAGAATATTCAAATACCTTTTTTTGAGAGGAATGTTACGCTGGGACTAGTAACACACAACAGTTTCCAGGTAGGATACTGAAAGTTCCAGGGATTTATGGCTAGAAAACTTCATAGTTTGCTCCTAGGTGTGCCTGAAGCAGTGCAGCCATGAGTGAAAATTGCAGCTATCTGACAGCTGTGAGTGACCTCAGAGAGGTGAGTCAGTGTCAAACCAGGTCTGTACCACTGTCCTCATTACAGCTGGTGCTACTTGGCACCCCTGGTGGCAATCCCAGCGGAGTTCCTGAATCAAAGCACCAGCTTGGGCTCCTTGTTTGATGTGCAGTGCCAAGAGTTAGCTGAAAAACTTTGTTTTCTGTTCTCCCGAAGAAACCATTTATTCTGGTTGAGTAAAATGTAGTTTTCACTGCTGACAAGGGATCTTCATGTGTTTATACATAGAATTTTTAAGTGGAGCAATAGTGAAACATCAAGAGCAAGTATTATTATGTATACATAAAAAAATGTTGAAGCATCATCAAGGCATCATTGTATATCTCTGTCAAATTACTGGAATGATTGATGTCATGTCAATGTCTGTAACAATTGAGAGAAATTAGATGAGAGAAAAGATTCTATTTATTTTATTGAAGCTGTGTTAGTGCTTTACTTTGTTTTCCTGTGTGGATCCCTCTCAACTGAGTAAAATAAAAAAATAAATATTTTTATAAAGCATTGCAGAATACCAGAGATTAACTGAAACCTGCAGAGCCTGAAATACTTCAGGAGACATTGAACTCTTTCTCATTCTGCTCTTTCATGTAGTTGAGAATTGTGGATCAAGTCCTGTCTAGCAGAATTACTATGCTGTGTGTCATAATATAATAAAATACTGTGTTATGACCTGAACAAAGGACTTGAACCCAAGGTTCTGTATTATTTTCCAACTGTGTTATTTCCCAAGAATTCTGCAAGCTTTTGAAGTTGTTGCACAAGAAAATCTATTAAGGACCCACAACCTTAGTTGTTGTAAATAACTTTTTATCCCTTTTAAAATAGGCAAGTTTGTCCACATTCCCAGAGGTTTTTTAAAATCTTATATACATTTTTCTTGCAGAATGTCAAGATTACTAAAGAGGGAGTTAACATGTTGAGTATTTTGAGAAGTTAGAGATGGCTTGTCTGTAGCAGTTGTAAATCTATCAAAAAATTACCATGCTATTACCCCACAGACACCCCCAAATGAGAGCTAATATGACATGTATTTTCAGCTTTTTTACATCCTCAAACATAGTCAATGAAATTGTTTTAGCTTTCTACATGGTATCTTCAAGCCATTAAATATTAAACACTACAAGTCTTGTTTCTCCATTTTTAAGAGAGGAGCTAAAAGCTCTCCGTAGTTTTTTTTATATTTCCAAAATAATCTGAATATAAAAAATGCTGTTCAAGTACTAAGTTTGAATATTATCTCTTAAGCAAGACAACTTGGTTAAGTAAATTTTAACCTTCTAAGATTGCCTAAAATGATTACAGTGATCTCTGTATGGCCCTTTGCAGTCTTAGCAGCTTTCAGAAGTTTCACCAAGACCTGATGAAAATCCCCATTCAGCCTTGCTATGTAATGTTTTGAGATGCTCTCTCATCTCAGGCTTCTTAGAACTATAAGCTTGGTTATTTTTCTTGGTATTTACTGATGTCCCCTGGTTTACCTTTCCTGCTTTTTCCACTAAGCACTGTTTTTGCAGTATATTAGACAGAAAGGGTAATAGATTTTCACACTAGCTAAGTATGGTCATAGAACATAAATCCTCTATTGACCAAAGAAAACATTGGAAGACTGAAAAAGAAAGTGGAAAGAATTCTGCATACTTGGGTAGAGCAGAAGGTGTGTGACTGTAGGAAATGAATTTTTTTTACAGTTTATTATTTAACAGTTCATTATTATTTATTTGAGATTTTTCTGGAGAGTGGAGTTAGAGATCATGTAAATAAAAACCTGAAGTTAAAAAAAAGTTGAGGGTAAATTAAGAATATTTTGAGAAATCCTGTGTGTAACAGGCAGTTTTTATTTGAGCATAGGCATAAAAAATGATAGACTAGGGAAGAGTATCTTCAAATGAATGTTCTGAGTTCTCAGTAAAATATTATAATTTAAATAAATGTGTCATGCTTATAATCTAATAGATTAGTCCTTGTCATCATTATCATCATTGTTACTATGGTATAAAAAAACCAGTTGATATTTGTATTTCCTTTCATAAGGTAATAAATCTTCCATTGCTCTGTACTCAGTTTTATTAATTGAAGTGAATAAGATAGGCAAGATGCTTAAAATTGTGTCTTCTGTTCCACAAAGAAACAGGAATTCAGAGAACTGGCCTGAACATTATAATATAGTCATTATAACCTCATAAAAAACATCTGGTTTTAGTGAGAATTTATATTCAACAAGATGTCTGTATCCACCATTGGTACACACAAGGCAATGCATAACAAACATAACAAACAGAAGCTATAATTTCACACAGCTGAAAGACTGACATCAAATGTCAACCTAATCATTTCTCAATTTGTTTTTTTTATTATTTATTTGCAAACTCCAGAATGTTTTCCAGCTGAAGCATCTCTCTCTACCAAAGAGTAAATTTCTACTTGAAATTTACTTCTTTTTTTAATTAACCTTTTCTGATCACAAAAGTTTGGCAGATCACAAATCAAAGGCTGTCACAAACATCTTAGCTATCCACATATTTATGACTTGTTTAAAGAAATGTAAGAAAATCTCTGGCAATAAATAAATGCTGTTCAGAGTAATTTTTCAGATTGTACTTCACAGCCATTGGCATGGATTAATGTGTACTGTGGAACTGGACAATGGCAATTTACAGTGTTATCCAGGTCTCATTTGTTCTCATCTCCCACATATGGAATTTTAAAGTTCATTCATTTGCATTAGTCATGAAGGTAGAGACACTGCCCAGTTGGAAAAAGTGGTATATATAGTTTCAAGAAAATTTCCCTCATTATATTGAGGAGGAAATACAATCTCAAAGCTATATAACTATATAGCTTAAATTGGTTTAAATATCTTCAGTGGATCATTGTGCTTTTCAGGAACTGTCAGTTCTTATTATGCTGAATAGTTGTATTTAGTTATGGGCTAGACAGAAATCAATTCAAAATTGTCTGTGCAATCACGATATCCCTCATGGAAATTGTTCATTCACACTGTTTCCCAGGTTCTGTGCTGTGTTTAGTAGGTGGATTTGTTCTGCTCTAACAAGGAGAACATTGTGTAGCTGAATCTTCTTCCATGTGGTTGGATTCATAAGCATTTTCCTTTTAATGGAGCTTTTTCTCCCCACATGGAGGCAGTGGCTTCCTGGTATGGGCAGAAATATGTTCTGTTTTGCAGGTAATACTTAAAAATTCAGAAATAAGTTGATTAATCTTTTTAAGTCTGTGAAATTCACTGAAATTGTGAGAGACAGATAAAATAAATTGTGTATTTGTGAGTCACCTTATATACAGGCAAAACCCAAAAGTTTGGGATTAGATGCTGAAGAAAGCATTGGAAACCTCAGAGGTCATAGAATTCTAGAGTAGCCTGAGTTGGAAGAGACCCATGGGGATCACTGAGTCCAACTCTGGGCAGGACACACCAAGAATTCCATCCTGTGCCTGAGAGCATTGTCCAAACACTTTTTGATCTCTGTCAGGTTGAGGTTTGAACTCTGTGTGGTTGGACACTGGAACCTGTGAAGAAGATGTGTTATCTTCTCCCTTGCCATTCCTCTTTTCCTTCTCACTATGGGAATATTAACAAGCAACCACTTTAAATTGAAGAAAGAACTGTAAGCACAAAAGTGCATGTTAAACCACTCTCTCCAGTCATCAGGTGCCTAAATCCAAAATGCACTAAGTGTTTTACCTGTTTATGATTCAGTGCACCTCATTCTCCCAGTCATTTTTAAAATGACAAATGCCACTTAAAATGTGTTTAGTCCAGTGCAGGAACTTGGAATTCTTTTCCTGGCAGGAAAATATTAACCACAAGGTTGTGCACTCTTGTTCCATTTTGTCTGCTTCTCTAGGTCCAAGATCTACTCCTTCCTTGGCCTTGTTGACAAAGAACCCCTGCTAAGCAGGGCAGGTACTTTGATAATGAGGACATTCCTGCTGAAAGTGTCCTCTTGAGTTCTGACATGCTGAAAAAAACCAATTTCTATTAGTTTTCCATTTCTTTAAGATCAAGCAGGAAGGGAGTAAAGAGTTAAAGGTGAAATAGCTAGTGAAGGGTGGGTGGTTTGTACCAGTTTTCAATGTTGACATATGAAAATAAATAAACTAATACTTGGGGAATAGCTGTATTGCTTCTGAGACAAGTTAAGTGCTATTATTTAATTTCTGCTATGCAAGGGGGAGAGATGGCATGGTTGTAATTGAACTTGAGGCTATTTATTTGTTACTTTCTTACAGGAAACAGATTCAACCTCTTCTAGGACAGTTTAGCCAGTTAGAGGCTTTGTTAATCTCCTCTGGAGTTGAGCAAGGGACTCTGGATGGTGTTCTCCTGGATGCTGGCTGTTCTTCTATGCAGTTTGATACACCTGAAAGAGGTTTTTCCCTGCAGAAGGATGGACCTTTGGACATGAGGATGGACTGTGACAGGTACGTTACAATAGATTATTTCTTCTTGAACATCAAAAACTGTCTGCTCACAACCTCTGTGCATTTCCTTTCCTCTTAAAATTAAGAATTCTTATCCTCAAACGACATCTAATTTTGCATGAGTATCCTGTCTTTCTTTTGCTGAATGTTTTTTTCTATCAATGCTCAGCCCTGGTTATTGTCTTTGCCTTCTGTGAAATAAGAAGAAAGTTCCAGTGATGAGTAATTAAACCAGCCATGTTTTATTAACTGTACCTTTAAATTGTAACATTTTTGGAGTGTATGGTATACAGTCATGGGAACATCTCTCTTTCTCTGCCTGTGCTTGACCTGGAGGCTCACAACTTCTTTCTGCAGTCCCTTTCCTATCCTGCCACACTTGTTATTTGTGGAAACTTCACTTGAGCAGGTTCAGTTGGTCCCTCAGGAAAGGAGCAGAGTCCCTCTTTTGTGCCATGACCATCTGATCCAGCTGCTTCTCTGTAAAAGGAACATAATAAAAATAAATAAATAAAATCCTATCCATTATATTTGCTAGTTTAAATCAGATAGCTGCATTGCTTTTGACATGTTAGTATGATGTTGTCTTCCATGCCCATATATTTGTTGTAAGTTTTACTTAGCAAAATTATAAGCTTCCTTTCTTTTTGTGTAGGAGGCACATCAGGCTTACTTAATTGTCAATTTAATGGTTACTGAGTAAATCACCTGTATTTAAATTTGAATTGGTGTTTAGTACTTTCAAGAGCATGAAAATCACTCGTGGAACGATAATTTCCACTTATGCAGCATTTTTCATCTTCAGACAACCGGATGTATTTCTGCAGCATTTTGCTTTTTGTATGAGCAGCCAAAGGTCTGTCTTGTGTGGATGATGGCTGTAATTGCATGGTGCATTACATGACAGAGAATAACAATTTTTTCTTGATATTTTGATGAACATGGAGTCTTAAGAAATGCCATTTGTACTTTCATTGCTCACAAGAGCCAATGGGAAGCCTCAATTTCTAAGGAATTAGCTTACCATATTAATATTAAGTCTGAACAGCAAATTTCATGATATTTGCTTTTTCTGGTTCTGTGCAGAATGCTCCCATGATTCTCCTGGGATTCAGTCCTCAGATTTCAAGAATCTGAACTCCAGGCTTAAATATAAGTCTGATGCATCATGAGAAAACAGGCACAGAACAGGAGCATAAGAACAAAGGATACCTGAGGCATAACAAAAGCCTTACACTCCTTACACTATGGTTGTTGCTATGATACTACTTGCCTCTAAGTTTGTTATCTTCTGTAAGATACTGCAGGGGAGTAAAAAAATGCCTGAAAGAGAGGAAGAGAATTTAGAAGATAATTTATTAAGTAGTTTTTATGTTTTCTCTGATTAGTAAACACATAGATGATGTTCATAAAATACCTTGAGCTATTTCAGTAGTGAAGTGACAGAGATATGGATACATAGATTAAAGGCTTACACTGTTTAAATTGTAATAAGTCCTGTAATTTACATGACTAGGTAATTTCTATTATCTCAGAAGAGTATGTACATATAAATTCTTATGCCTTTTAGTGAAAAGTAATGTTTAATTATCTTCATTAGCAATTGGTTTCATAGCAAGAGATGTGAAAGAAAAGATCTTTGAAATCAGTTCTGGCTAGAAAACAACAGGTGATGCAAGGTGGCTAAAATGAACCCATAAGAGGCAAGTTTATATTCTAAAGCTGGCTAAATAGAAAGGTCACACATAATTTCCATCCTGGCACGATACTGGAATATATTTATTCTTGTCACCCTATTAAGCATAGTTTATGATAATACTTGGAGGTTAAACCTGTTGTAATTGAAGTTAAGGAACAAACTCCATTTAGACCAGCAAGAGAAAGGATTTCAAAGGTGCAAGCTGTTTTCACAGAGCTGCCATCTCCTATTTGAAAACCTCAAAGGCACTTGTATGCAGTGTGTGTGTGTGTGTGTTTGACTTTATGTCTCAACGCCATGAAGCTTCACCTCTTGTCAATGAAAACTGACGTCAGTGAACTAATTATCTCTTCTCCTGCGTAGGTACCCTGCCATGCCCACTGCTGCTGATGTTGTGAACGCTTTAGATCAACAGGCGCTTGCGTCCATCCTGAGAACGTACGGGGAGGAGAGGCACGCTAGGAAAATCGCTTCAGCCATCGTTCAGGCACGCAGCACATACCCCATCACCAGAACTCAGCAGCTTGCAAGCATTGTTGCAGGTACCCTCATTAATTCTTCACAGTGGCTGCTGAGGAGAGGAGGAAAGAAAAAAAAAAAAATAATAAAAATTAATCCCCAAAGTCCCAGAGGGATCTATTTGTACTTGAAATCATGCAGGATCTAATCCTGCCTGTTCTGCTCTGATGTCAGCTCTCTGTTTCTTTTTTTTTTTTAAGCTCCCGTTTTTTTGTACTGTAGTTTGACAATTACTTTAATAATAGATTTAACATGAAGTGATTTATCATTTTGTCAACCAAGTTGAACCACAGAATAACAGCAGCCTTGGGTATTCTTTATCCTGGCTATTGATAAACTTTCAAGTACCAGATATGTCATATCTTAGTTTTAAATTTCTGTATTTTATTATTTTAAGGGGAGGTACCATGGCAGTTTCCAACTATGAGTGAAATCAGACAATTTCTGTCTTTTTAAAGAATCAGGAAGCAGAAAGCAATACGTGGCTTGCTTCACCTTGTGCACAGATCAGCCTGAAGAGACTATTGAAACACTTCATCTTCCGTGATCCTCACTGTAAACAACTTGAAGAAAATGCAGTTAGGCAGGAACAGTGCTTACATCAAGAACCTTTACGTTTGTGTTCTCAAATAAAAAATTTCAAGGAAAAACACAAGGCACAAATCCTGCTCATTAGAATTCTAATATGTGGCATCAGGATGTCTTTATTTTTTTTAAACAAATGATGAAAATCACTACGTCTTGTCACAAATAAGTCTAAACTGCTGACTTTGAATAGAGACCTATAAAATTCTAGTCCAAATTTAACATTTGCTAAAGAAGAATGTAAAATATTTTTATCAGTATCCTGAAGACTATTAAAAAATCTATGATATTCTTAAAGATTTGTATTACTTAAACTGGAAGTCTAAGGCACTTAAATTTAATGATGGAGAAATGAATTGTTTGTATTTGTAGAAGTCAGGATACTTTAGTCATGTCCAGTCAACCAAGGCACAAAGTTTAGCTGATATGTTAAAAGGACCTGAAGACACTGCTTGCTGTTGTAAGCCCCTGCTGTTAATACAGTGAATATAGAAATATTAAAAAAAAAACAAACAACAGAGATTAAGCACTATGTGACTTTTATAAACCTTACATTTTTAATATCATCATTAGAAATATTCTGAAATAATAATTTTGGGCTTTGTCAAATCTCTCTCATACTTTTTTTTTAAAAAAAACAACTGTTGATTAAGACAGTGTACCACTATTGAGTGTGAAGAAAACGTATCACTGTGATAAAGATACAACATGTTACATGTTGGAGACAAGCAACTCAGTAATTCTGAAATAATTTTGTGCCTTAGCTCCAACTAAGGAAATGAAAATACTCGTGTATAAAAAGATAGAGATTGAAGATCCCTTCATGTTTAATGTGCTGCATGTGAGTCATCAGTTAATGGTCACTTTCTGTGACACTGAGAAGGATTTTTTTGTTCTCAGTCTGAATTCTCTGCTATATTTGAGGAGCTTCTTGATCTACGAGTCAGGAATGCATCAGGTGGTGTACATGCCAAAAGCAATGAGTCCAGCCAACATCTGCCAAGAGAATAAATATGTATTTTTTGTGTGCTTTTTTTGGAGTACACTATTAGTTACAGCAATTTTAGAGCTGTTGCACTGATCCCTGTTTGCATAAAACTTCTTCCAGTTTTAATTTGATTCATCCAGTAAGGAAGCACTGTGGTGGATCCTATTGGTTTTTGAACTGATTAAGAAAACCTGAAGGAAAATTTTCCTAATTGTGATATATTCTGATTCATTTATCATCTATCATTAATATATATTCTTACATGAAATTATATTGGTGAAGTTATTGGGATAAACCAGAGCTAAAGTGCCAGAGACCACAGCTACAGGAACCTCTTGATGGTACAGCCCAAAAAAACCCACTGACTAATTCAGGACTTCACCAGAGTCAGATTTATGACCTATTAGTTAAATGTTATGTCCTTTAAAAAATAAAATATTAATAAGAATTATAAAATCTTGCATTTCAGGTTTTGCAGATTCTTTGCAAGCCTGATTATCTTTCAGAACAGGGTCATTATTTTTGCCTAGTTTAGGAACCAGAACACAAGCAAAAACATCTAGCCAATGAAGCTGGGTGTCAGCATCTGAGAATTTGTGTAGTGTCTCTATTTCTTTCTCCTCTTATTGATATATATTGATATAATCTTATTGATTATAATCTGATTGATTATTGATTCAGATTTTCTAGAGCTCCCAGGTTTTATCTTAAGGTCCAATAATTCTAATTCTATAATAATAATAATTCTAAGATAATCAGAATCACAGTGAATCTAGATTTGGACTAACCTGAACTTGGAAAATTTAATTTCTTTTTATAGACTGCTAGACTTCTGGTCTTTCCTACCACCTCCCAAAAGGTTAGAACAGGTATTGCAGTTCCTGATCGATAAGAAGATAAAAGTGAAGGATGTAGTTAAAAAAAAACCCAAGGAAACAAAACAACATTAAAAAAATTGTGGTTATAAATATTATCCAAAAGGCTTCAGATCTGTTTAAATGAGATCTCCACAAGCTATGGAATCTGCATTAGGAGGAGTTTTTGGTTCAGTCTTGGGAACAGCATCTCTCCCTGTGGGACAGTCAAACTCTTCTCACTATTTATAATTTTCACAGAGCTATTTGCAGCATTGAATGCTCTGCAAATACTAAGAATCAGTAGTTCTCAACTGAAGGTTGTGAATAGATGTGTTAAAGTTGACTAAGAAGCACTTCCTGATGTCTTTTGTTGTATCTCATTGAGTTGTTTGGAAACAATAGGTCTAACTGCATGTGCAGGAAAACTCATTAAAATCGGTGAAATTTTTGGAATGTAATTTTCATATGCTTTTCCTGTACAGCTAAGGGTCTATTTTGATTTATTTTCAGGGGGAAATGGACCTTTTTATCTATTAATTTTTGTTCAAAATTTATTTTTTCTGAGCATTATTTAGATACATAATCTATTAACAGACAATTTTGAGATCATGTAATCATTTGGCCTTAACTTGAAAGGAGTTGATTAGCGACACGTTCAAGAAATTTTAGAAGTTTAAAAAGCACTTTAATGGGGAAAGCCAATTTCATTCAGACTGGTTCACTTTTATAGACTTTAATTATCAGTTTGGAATTTGTAATGTTGCCTGAGTTTCAGATGGGTGAGAATTAACACTGTACTGAGGGAGCCTAGACAAAAGGACATTAGTTGCGTCACAGAAACTTATTAAATGCAGTGCTAATTCAACAGACGAATTCCTGCAAACAGGTGCACGATCTGAATTAATTTTTAAACTCTCCCACTCTCTTACACTCTGGAGACTTTAATAGTTCATATTGACAGGCACAGCACATTGCTAATTTCATTCACAAGCTTTTAAAATTTCAATAGGTTTCAACATGTGAACCTATTTGATTTTTTTTTTTTAAAGTGTAAGTATCATCAGGGCATCCTGAAACTAAAAATGGTTATTTCTCTCACTGGGATTTCAAACCAGTCATCTAGCCAGAAGCGTGGTGTTTTTTATGAATGAAATTCATTTTACAAGAATCCCATACAGATGATTTTTATTTTTTAATGTTTTTGTACATTGAACAGCCAGTTACCTGGAAAGTTTTTCTTTCAATGTCTTGGTAACTGGAGGGGCCTGAGGAGAAAGCACAGATAGATTTTTATTTAACTAAACTAGAGGAGTCAGAGTGATAGGAGAATTTTTTCACCCATGGGACATAGATCAGAATCTATTGCCTCTACTAAAAAGCTGATGGCCAGTGTGACAGAAATAACTACCAGAGATTATGTTTATTAGTTAATCCCAGTCTTTGACAATAGCCCAGTAAGTCTTGGAACATGTAGAAAGTGTGATTTTGTTTTTAATCTGGGAGGTTTTGGTTGCATAAAACTGCAAAGTGGCTGCATTTACTAATATCCTGAATATTAGTATTATTAATAATATTAGTATATTATATTATACTATAATATATAATATATATATATAATACTATAATATTATTATAATATTAGTATTCTGTTCTTGGTTATAGGACCTGCAGTGCTCTTTGTGCATGTTCAACTGAGGCATGTAAGGTTGTATTATACTTACAGAATGTAACTGGGCTTTAATTAATTTTTCTTCAGTGATAAATTATTGATAATAATAAATTAATGTCACAGTTGGCATAGAAAGTTACTGCAGGGAAAAAACTGCACTCAACAGCCATGGCAGGATAAGTGGAAGAACTTTTCAGAGACCTGTTGGTGTCCTAGACATGCTGATGGCCTCAGTGTCATTGTTCTTTTATTTATCTATTCAGCATTGCAATTGCAAAATATCAGTGTTCATGATCAGGCCAAGGAAAATCTGCCCAGATATCAGCATACTGTGTCCATTTACATTTTTACAAAGCCTTTTGAAGTTGAATTTAGGTTGGAAGGGATGTTAAAGACCATCCAGTTCCAGCTGCCCTGCCATGGACAGGGACACCTTCCACTGGACCAAGCTGCTCAAAGCCTCATCCAGCCTGGCCTTGGGCATTGGCAGGAATGGGGAATCTACAGCTTCTCTCAGCAGCCTGTTCCAGTGCCTCACCACCCTCAAAGGGAAGAATTTCTTCCAACCTCTAATCCATTCAATAATTCTGAACATTCTACTAGGGCTTGTAGTTGTTACTTGACCTGTAAAGAAAGTTGTGTTCATTTTGCCTAGCATAAAATTCCTTCATGTTATGAAGGAATTTACATTAAGAGACAGTAAATTTACAATTTACATTAAGAGACAGTCTCCATCACACACAGCTGGCACTCAATGGCTGTTCCAAGGGTTCCATTTTCAAAGAATCTTCCTATAGGTAAGTTGAGAAATATGGAAACAGATACCATGCCAGTTAGTACAAGTTTGGTGTCTGTTTCTTGGGATAACTTATGCTCTGTGATTTTTAGCTCTCCTTTTAATTGAGGTCACTCATCAAAATGAGCTTTGTGACTTCTACAATGAGAGTATACATTCTTTTTAAGATTCATGGTAAATATAGAAGGTTATATTCTCAAGGACAGAAATTATATTAGCTAGCTAGTGTAGCTTTTTCCAGAGTTTGTAAATGATGGAGAAGCCTATCTCCTGCAGCCTACATCTGTTTACTCTGTTTTGTGAGACAGCTTCAAGCCACAGATTTGTTGGGAGAAGTCAATCCTGTTGCCACTTTCTGTCTTGAAGGATTCAGACTATGAGGACTGGAAGCAGCCAAAGCTACAATTGGTCTCTGCAGTGAATTTAGGAGCTGTTAGCTTTGGAGATCAGAGGAGGTAGGGAAGGTAGTTAGGAAAATCAATTATGCAGAAATGTATTTTAGGGACCTAGCATACATGATAACAGCTTTGTTAATAATGATTGGATTTTAAAATCCCATTTTTTTCCTCTGTCTTTGCTGAGCACTGAGATTGCTTGTGTGTGTGTGATACACTTAGTGAACACTTAGGCTTTTTGACATAAGAAAAATCTTACCTTTGAAACTCTCAAGAAATCTACTAATCAATTCTTCTGTGCAAGCATATTATGGATAATGATATTTATTCATTTTTCTTCAATCACCATGCAAATTTGAATTTAAACAACTAATTTTAGAGGTACAGTATTCCCCTCTTTTACTTCACTATGTAGAATATCAATCACTTGATTATGAACTGCATTTACTTCAAACTCTTTGCTTCATTATGTTATAGCTTAGCACTGAAATTAGGGCATTCTAATACATACATACATACCAATTGTGTTGAAAAATAATTGTCCAGTTATGTGCTAGCATTATTTATTCAATTTGTCTTTCCCAGACTCCTGTGATCACTTCCATAATAGATTATAAATTTACTTGGGTTGCACAGATCTTACAGGATTCTTGCACTGTAGTACTCTGATCTATCAAATAAGGCTTCTCTAGCTTTTTGTTCTGTACCCATGTAATGAAAGTTCAAGCCTAAAAAGCATTAAATATTGATATATTAAAATTTCTATCAAAATTTCGGTTTCTACAAAAACTTGTTTGGCTTATAAGAATTTTGGGGAAAGGAAGAAGGAGTTTTGTGCATCTAATAAAAAATATTTATTCTGGTGATTTTAGGTCTGACATATTCTGCTGTGTACACTCAGGAAAACACAACAGCTGCATTTTTTAAATTTCTCAAGGTATTTTTGTGAACATTTGAAGAAAAACAGGTGTAGGGTTCAACACTTGCTATTCCCAAACAAGGATACCTCTTTTAAACTTCGAGTAATTCATTGAAAGGTAGTTATTACCAGGCAGACATTGTCTTCAATTATCTCTGTCTGTGAGGAAATGCAATTATCTGGAAGGCAACAGGTGAAATTGTGGCCATTGTGTATATATATATATATAGTATATATATTATATATATATTTTTATATATATATTGTATGTGTATATATATACAGAATATATTATATATATATTATACATATATTATACATATTATATTATATATAATATATATGATACATATATTATATATATATTTATATTGTATGTATATATTTATTCATTTATTTTTGTTTATTTTTATTTATTTTTATTTTTATTAATTTTTATTTTTATACTATTTTTTTTCCTTAAAAGCCTAACACAGCTACAAATACCAAATTTGCATTGATTACACTGAGCTGTGAGACTTATCTATCCTATCTTCTTTTTCTTTATCTTGATTTCAGCCATTATTTTTCAGTTTAAATTTGTGATGCTTTTGGAGAAGGAATTTCTCTAAAAGATTCTAGGGGAAAAAAACCCAACACTTAACCACAAATCATCTTAGTTTAATAGGGTTTACATTCAGAGATGTGAATTCAAAACATAAAATAAAGATATATTACAAAGAAGTAAGCTCACTACTCAAGTTCCAGTTTTGACTGTGCTTTCCTTCAAATTCATCTTGCACGAGGGGATGTCAAGATGCAGAAATACTGAATTATTAACTTTTATTTAAAACCTATATTAACTTTTATTTACTATTAACTGCATCTTTTAAATTGTATGGCAGGTGCTTTTCCAGCCTCAGCACTCTATGCACGCAAGGACCTTCTTCACAGACCTGTGCACGTGGCCACTAAAACTTTCCAAGGCCTGAGAATATTTGTAAATGATGAGCTCCATGAACTCTTCATAGGACTGAGGACAGCTGAGAAGTTTCTAAAACCAGGAGGTCGCCTCGTGGCCCTCTCCTTCCATTCGCTGGAAGATCGTATCGTCAAACGTTTTCTTCATGGAATTGACGTGACGGAGAAGTACAGTCTTGGCTCAAAGCAGAAGATAAGACAGGCTCTGAAAAATTCCTCCAGAGGAGAAAATTCACAAGAATCCCCGCATGGAAAATCCAACTCAAAGTGGATTTTGATACAGAAAAAAGTTCTCACGCCCCAGGCCAAGGATATTCAAACAAACCCAAGAGGAAGGTCGGCCAAACTAAGGGCTGCTATTAAACTGTAAAGAAAAATATATGATTACATGATTGTATAATTTCCTTAAATTCTGTTTTCCAGAATGCTAACTGGACAGATAGTATCAAACTGAAAAAATAAAATGAAGGTTATTGGAGAACATTTCTCTCTTACCTTTGTGCTTCTTTTTGATTAGGAAGTAGTATAGAGCATGAAAATGCAAAATAAATGCCTTATATATACTTAAATATAAGTGGGTGTCACTAATTATACAAAAAATACATCTTTTTTTTTCAAAGAGCTTCAAACACCAAGTTTATAAAAATTGCAGGTTTGATGTATTTGGAGTATTCCCCTTAGATTCATTTCAAGATCCTGACATTAGCAGTCTAAATTCAGTAGCTAATTGAGACATATTTTTATGGGGGTGAATTTCACATGCCTAATTCAGATGTGTGGTTTAGTCTAGAGTAAGTTTAAACTAACCTAAGAATTCTTGATATATTTCTCTGTATCCCAGCTAACTTGGATGAATGCCTATGGGACAAGAGCTAATTCTTAAATAAAGTGACATCAGTATGCCATGTTCTATCCAGGAATTTTTAAATGGACTCTCACCTTTTTTAAAATAAGTATTTATTATACTTATATATATAAGTGATCACCTGGTTCTTTAATGATTAATAATTTTAAATAATAAATGTATCTTGGGAGAAAAAAAGGGTTCTTAAAAACCACTGTTGACACTTGGACACTGCAGTAAAGCAAGTCAGATTTGTACTTGGTCATCTGAATTTCTTCCTGCAACCAGAACTTCTGTGCATAGATCCACTACAACTTTTAGCTGTTGATGGAATTAGAATTAACCCATCTAAAAAGCAGTATTGTGGGTCTTATGAAGTATTCTCCTTTGTTGGTGATCGTTTATTAAGAGGTATTAAATTATTTTAGGAATAACTCTTAACACTAGCTTTCTGTCTGGGTTCTATACTAGGTTGTAGAACATTTAACATAATTTCTTTTTTAGTTACTATGAATTAAATTTAATTTTGGGGTTTATATTTTATCTTAAAAGACCACTGGTTTCCTAGTTTTATATGCTACAAATGAATGGAAAATAGTATAAGTTTCAACTTCTTTGACCTCTGACTCATCTCTTCAGGAAAAAGTCTTAATTTAGGTAATCAAATTGGTACCAAGATTTCATTTGTGATGTCTGAAACTCGGTTGGTAGAATAAAAAAAAAATGCAATTTCTGACTCAGCTGAATGACTACTACACTGGCTTCTGAAGAACTGACAGGATCATTCTGAACTTGATTTTCATCAAGAACCCTCTTTTGTGTCAATTACTTCATGGTAGTTTTTTGGGTTATATTGAAACAAGCTGATATTTAGGTTCACTGTCTAATATACAGTATAGTGAAATAGCTGGATATTGTTTAATTCCTTGATACAGGTAAGTCATATAATGTATTCTTGTATTATATTAATATAATATATATAATATTAATTATACATAATATATAATTAATATATAATATATTATATTAATTATATATTATATATTAATTATATATTATATATAATATATATATTATATAGTTATAGATGATAACATCTATCACTTATCTGAAATAACAGCTAAATGGTGATGGACATTTCATTCTTTCCTGAAATTTCAATACTTTTCCACTAGCTTCATTATACATGCTGCTTAAATAAAACATTCCACTTCAAATAATATTACTTACTCTTGTCATCTTTGGGACAACAGAATGTACCCTAAATAGACATTTTTTTTCATGCAAACATTAAATATAAATAGCTAAGGTTATTTTTAGCTAAGATTTCATACTGAAATGTATTTCAGTTGTAGATTTGAAAAATTGTGCCTCCAGCAAAGGCTTAGAGGAGTTGTAGTGCCCTGCTGTGCATTGTTCAGGACACACTTCAGGGAAAGACCATCCAGTTATAGCAGAATTAGCACCTCAGAAATTACATCAAAGCATTAAAATTCCTTATGCTTAAAATAATGTTTAAAATCTACACTTCTAATACCTAAATTCAAAGGCACAGTTTCTTAGGATAATTGAACTATACAAAGTTGTGTAAATACCCTCCCTCATTTAGGAAAATGAGGCTTTTATTTGGCTTTAGGTTGGAGTTGCACAGCCATGACAGTATATAATTTGTTGAGTTTTTCCCTTTATAGGTTCTATTTCTCTCCTGTCAGCATCTCTTCTCTTTCAGCTTTAAACCTGACATATGGAGAGTCCTAGAATTTTAACCTCTGCTTGCCTGAGGAAATAAACCCTTCTGGTTTCCCACAAAAAACTCTGTTTATATTTGGTTAAAGTCTTGTCTCTTTAAGCATTTCACCTAATTTCATTCCATGAAAAATAGGGACTGTTTACACAGATATGCAGTGATAGGACAAAGGGAAATGGTTTTAACTAAACGAGGAGAGATTTAAACTAGGTGTTAGAAAGGAAATCTTTACTCAGAAGGTGCTTGTTGGAGTCTGAGATACAGAGTGTGAGCCCTTGTTTCTGATACTTAGTTTTAAGATCCAGAAAAACACTGAATTTCATATAACATGAAATTCATGAGCATGTTTTCATGGTGATACATGAAGACAAATGTTAAAGTTAGATAGAAAAAGCTAAAAGTGTGTGTAGATTAGAAATTTTTCTTAAATCACTGGATGAAAAAGTTAATTTAGAGAACAGGAAACAAGATGAAGGATTTAAGGTGTTGTCTCTTGTCCTTTCTTCTTCATGTTCTTCTCCTAGAGGTTTTTAGGTAGTAATGAGTGATTGGACAGAAAATGTCACAGTGCAGCACTCAGGTGATGGGTCATTGGGTCATTAAGAAAAATAATTTACGTGTCTATTGTTAATTGGGTAAAAATAGGTATAAAGATATAAGAACTGTGTATTTCAGGGCCATTTTGTGCATCAGACACGAAGTGTGCCACAAAGGCCTTGTTTGTACCATCAGAAGAAAGAAATGTACCAGATTGCAAAGATTAACCTTGTGTAGCCAGCCTGGAGAGACCTGTCAAGTTTTGTGTTGACCTTTTAATAAACACGAGAAACAAAATTCTAACAAATTCGAGAGTTTTCTTCAAATCATAAGAACTGAGATAAGCAGGGCTCCCCACGAGGGAAGATCCCAAAAGAATTCAGTCCAAAAGAGGCTGAAAAATCCAAGAAGAGAAAGAAAAATACAAAAAAAAAAAAAAAGCAGCAAGATCAGAGAAACAGAAAAAAGATATTTTAGAGAAAAGTTACAGTGCTGATGCTCTAGAACACGTTGCCCAGGGGAGCTGTGGCTGTGCCATACCTGGAGGTGTCCAAGGCCAGCTTGGATGGTGGAGGATATCCCTGCCCATGGCAGGGAACAGATGATCCTTAAGGTCCCTTCCAACCCAAACCACTCTGTGACTTGGAAAGCAACATTAAATTATGTGAAGGGTATTAGGCATTTATCTTAGCAGAATACATGTCTACTATAAATATGTCATATATATATATATAAGATAAATTCTAATAATATAATATATAATATATAATATATAATATATAATATATAATATATAATATATAATATATAATATAATATATCATATATATATATATTATATATATATATATATATAAAATACATGTCTACAGAGCACACCTTACATTTTTCTGATGCACTATATGTGATGTGTTACTAAAATTAACTGGTTTTCTTGCCACAACTGAAAATGATATTTAAGACAGAGATGGCATCCAGTGGAAAATGTCTCCCTGAAAACCAAGGCATGCTGTCAAGGCACAAGTTATCTATAATTTCTAAAAACTTCCATTCAACCCAATCAATGTACATTTTAATACAGCCAAATGCAAGAATTTCTGTCAAGAAAGAAAAAAGTTTGTAGATTGTGTTTACAGGGAATATGACAAGAATATGTACACAGTGGGAAGAGTGGAAACATCCAGTATATGGAATAATTGCAGAGAACATCTTGTGGTAGTTCTGGAGAGACAGTGGTGCTACACAATGTGTGCATGGAGCACACTTTGCTGAAGAGTGGATTTTCTCATGTCAGTACTTTAGAAGAGTGGAAAGAAATTAAAAAGGATAAAACCCAGCTCTAAGGCTATTTGTATGCATGGCAAACATGCTTTCTATTGAATTTACTAGACAATAGGACTTGATTAGTTAATCCAAGTTACTGTAAGAGTTGGTCTGCTGTCAGAAGTACCTGCCTGGTAAAGGAATTTGCATAGTATAATTTGAAAAGTAGACGCACTTATCCTGTGACTAAGATATTTATAATAAAAAATCAGTACACTTTAAAACATAATTTAACAGTATAAACACAATTGTCTGCATTTACAGCCTGTCAGGGCCTACTGACAATTATTACTTCCCTATTGCTTCCTAAAGAAAAAGAATCAGTTTGCTTCCTAATGCAAGTAATATAAGGAATTAATATCTCTTCAGTTTTGGTTGTTTGGGGCTTTTTTAGCTTTCACAGTTGAGTATTTTATCACTAGTCTTTTACAGTCACATCTGCCAAGATTACCACTTGACTTGAAAAGAGTCACAGCCTGGAACAGGAGTTTCTGTGAAGATGTGTGGAGGGATGTGATGGATGGAAGCTGGAAGGAAAGGATTCCTAACGGAGAACGAATGGGAAAACGCCGATTTCAATGAGCGCTATCAGCAAGCGCCTCTTCCAGTAGCAAGTGTTGTATCAGATGTTTTGCATTCTGCTTTTTTAGAGCAGCATTTCTGTGATGATTAATGATTCATGTAATTGCTCTAAGATTACTTTTTGTACTGGGGAAGACATGGTATTAATTGGAGAGTTTATGCTCCTAAAGAGTGTAACAGCGCAGCGAGAAGAGCTGTGCCCTCAGGAAAGGTGACGTGCAGGGATGGGAGGATTGCAGTAAGAAGTCTTAGATCCAGATTGTTGGTGATTTGATTAATTTAAATTTTAAAATAACTTAGTAGTTTTAAGTAATCAGCCGTGACTCACTGTTTAGTATCACTGAGCAAAAGTACTCGTGAAAAATGAGACAAATTTGAATAAACAGGGAAGTAATGAACTCCTAAGTTTGGTTTTTTGCTGTCCACCTTACTTAACATCTTTAGCAACAGTAAGGAAGGGGGCCCAGACCTGGTTTTCTTGTGCTCTTCTCAAGAAAGAGCCCTTCAGTAGATTTAGTACCATTTACAGCAGGATTTTGAAGAGCATTCGGTGGAGTATTGGAGTCTTTATATCCATACATTTACTTTTCCATAAAGCACTTGCTTAAAACCTACCTGTAAGTTAAAATAATAAGAAATTAAATTTATAGGTCTTTCAGAAGAAATATAATCAAATGCAGAGGCCTTTTTACACTGGAGTTATACTGCAATTAAAGCAGGATTTTGTGGATTAATTAAGACTTCATTGCTACAAGTGAATCTTGCAAATAATTTAAATGAATGTAGAACAGCTTTTTCCCTTCCCTTCATCTCTATCTGCAGAAGATAGAATAGAAAAACATGTTTAATTTAAAATAAATAGGCAGCAAAGCTGAAAAGTTAAAAAAAAATTCTTTATGGAGTCGATATCCAATT